CTAAGAAAAATAGGGAGTACAGACAACCACAAAATATTTGTTTTACCTGCCCAAATCACAATCACAGGCAAATACTTGTTTGAAAGCTATAACTGATGATGCCATGCCATCTTCTTCATATATGAAATCTGATAGTTTCTGAAATTCCACAGATTATACCTATTTACAAAAATATCTTGACGATTCCCGCTTGTCCAATCAAATTTTGTGGATGGAAATTATGCCTGCTAATGTGGTGCTATTGCTCTTACTAATTTTTCCTAAATTAATGAGCACTAGATCTCATTTTCATATTCGAGTCCATGACTATAACAGCTGTCACTGTCATTACAGTGTGGGGCTACGGTTTATGAAGAAATTAGTAACTGCACAGTTTTAATAATAGACAAGCAATCTAATTCCATGTAGAGAGAGAGAAATCCTACATGGTTAAAGGACTGCACCAAGAAAGATAATTGACGATGTTGAAGCTTAATTTCTTACTTAATCAACCGACGGAAACACCAAGATATATACACATATAGGAAGCATCTAGAATGAAGAAAATAACAACCTAACAATACTACCAGCTGGCTAACAGCATAAGATTCTATTTCCTAAATTTCTGGAGCTGCAATGTGCCAATGTCTGCTGCCAAGGAACCGTAGGCAATGTTAGTTATTCATTTTAACTCCCCCCGTCAAGGTGGAGTGTGTTCAAGAACTCCTAACTTGTCTCTTAGAAACTGAAATCTTGAGTGTGACATAGGTTTGGTTAGCACATCTGCTGTCTGATCCGAGGAAGGAACATATTGAATTTTCAGCTGGTTATCCAACACTTTGTCTCTTACAAAGTGTGCATCGAGTTCAACATGTTTTGTTCGAGTGTGATATACAGGATTTGATGCTAGAGCACTTGCACTTATACTATCAGACCAGATAATAGGAATTGTCTTCTGTGGAATTTTTAACTCTTCAAGTAGAGATTGAATCCAAGTTACTTCAGCTGCACAATGAGCCAAAGCTCTGTACTCTGCTTCCGTGCTGGACCTTGCGACCACATGTTGTTTCTTAGAACACCATGACACCAAGTTTTCCCCAACGTATACACAATATCCAGCAGTGGACCTTCTATCGTCTGGACATGAGGCCCAGTCTGAATCTGCGAAAGCTGTAATGTCAAGGCTAGCATTTCTTTGGATGGTTAGACCGAAATTTAGCGTGCCTTTTATGTATCTGAAAACTCTTTTTAATGCCTTCCAATGAGTATCAGTAGGTGCTTGAAGGAATTGGCTTAGCTTATTCACAACAAAGGTTAAATCAGGTCTGGTGTGAATAGGATACTGGAGACCACCAATTGCACCTCTGTAGAGTGTAGGATCTTTCATTTCCTGTCCATCAGCTTTTGAAATTGGTTTTTCCACAGTCATAGGTGTGGGGCTAGGTTTTAGATTTTCATAACCAAATCTTTTCAGGAGTTCAATGGCGCATCTGGTTTGCCTCAGACTCAGTCCAGTATCATTTCTCTCGACTTCTATTCCCAGAAAATGCTTTAAGTTCCCCAAATCCTTCAGTGCAAAACTGATATTTAGTTTGTCTATAAACTCCTTCATCTGATAAATATTGGTGCCTGTAATCACGATATCATCTACATATATTAAAGCAAACAAGATATCAGTTTCTGTTGCCAAGAAAAATAGAGAATTATCAGCCTTAGACTGTGTGAAATTCCACTGCAACGGAGTATGCTTCAGTTTGTCGTTCCAGGCTCTAGGGGCCTGCCTTAACCCATATAGTGCCTTCTGAAGTTTGCAGACAAAATTGGGGTGTCTTTTGTTAACAAAACCCTGTGGTTGGTACATATAGACAGCTTCAGTTAGATTCCCATTCAAGAAGGCATTATTTATGTCTACCTGCCTGATATCCCAATTTTTCGATACAGCAAGAGTTAAAATGATTTTCAGTGTTGCAGCCTTGACAACTGGACTGAAAGTTTCGTTGAAATCGACTCCAGGAGTTTGCAGGAATCCTCTGGCCACTAACCTTGCTTTGTGCCTTGAGATCTTTCCATCTGCATCATATTTTAATTTGAAAACCCATTTATTGCTAATGACTTTCATTTCAGCCTCAGGTGGAATTAGAACCCAAGTTTCATTTTTCATAAGAGCATTGTACTCTTCTTGCATAGCATCTTTCTAGCAACTGCTTCTTAATGCTTCATCTGCACTGGTTGGCTCATTTGAATCCAGTTCATCCACTGTCAGGCTAGCATAAATTTTAGGCTTGAAAATACATGCTTTGCTCCTAGTGATCATTTGATGTCCAGTGTTTTGTGGTAAGTATCTATCTGGTAGATTTAGGTCGTTTGCCAAGTCTTGTGTCTCAGTAGGAGTTCCTGGTCCTGGTAACTCATTTTCTGTTATTGGTAATTCATGATCACAGAGAGATTCCCCAACTTCAGTCTCAGCCTCAGGTTCTTCAAGAGCAAATTCTGCTGCAGAAATAGCTTCAGATTGCATTGTAGAAACTGCAGTTTGACCTTGAGATAAGGTGTTATAATTGAGGTCAATAACAGGAAGAAAACATGTTCTGGGATCACAGGCTTGAGGTTGTGTTTGTTTATTTAGAAAGCCAGTCTTAAAGGGGAATTCTAACTCATTGAATGTGACATGCCTGGAAATATATATTTTCCCACTAGGACTTAGGCTTTTATACCCTTTATGAGAGTCACCATAGCCAAGATAGACACACTTGACAGAGTGAAAATTGAACTTATGTCTTTGATAAGGTCTGATAAAAGGAAAACATGCACATCCAAATGTTTTGAGTTGGTTAAAGTCGAAGTTTTTATTGGACAAGATTTGATAAGACGATTTGTGATCTAGGACTGAGGTTGGTAGTCTATTGATCAGATAGATGGCAGTCTTGAATGATTCCCACCAATAATAGAGTGGCATTTGAGCTTGGGCTAGCAGGGTTAATCCAATTTCTATTATGTGTCTATGTTTACGTTCAGCCCTTCCATTCTGAATTGAAGTATAAGGACAGGTATGTCGAAGTTCAATGCCAGATTCTAGGGCAAGTTTGCTGAAATTTCTAAACTCTTCTCCTCCATCAGTTTGAAGAGACTTAATCTTCATGTCAAACTTATTTTCGACAAGCCTTTTGAATTGAAAAAAAATGGCTAGTACTTCAGACTTTTGTTTCATGGGATAGATCCATGTAAAACGACTATGATCATCAACGAATATTAAGTAATATCTGAAGCCTGAAGTTGATTTTAAGGGAGCTGGACCCCATACATCAGCATGTATAAGTTCCAAAACTTTTGCAGCATGTGAGGAAGAAGTTTGAAAAGGTAGAGCATGTGACTTTCCAATCTTACAAGAGTCGCAAAAAGAAGAGGCTTCATTGAATTTAACAACTCGATTACAGGACTTAAGTACTTGACTCAACACCTGATTTGAGGGATGTTCTAGCCTTCTATGCCAAAGATTAAGTTCTGATTCTGAAGTTGGTTTAATTGTAAACTGATTACCAGCTCTAGATTTGACTGTAAGACATTGTAGGTTATTTTCATGATTTAACTGGAGGTTGATTCTTTCTGGTTTTGGAATAGGCAACTGCAGCTGGTACAACCCATCTTTAAGCGTTCCTTGCAGCAGAGCTCTCCTCATTTGCAGATCCTTCACAACACAGTAGTTCGAATAAAATTCCATGAATATATTATTGGCTCTTGTGAGCTGAGAGACACTTACCAGATTTCTTTTAATTGAGGGAACATGTAGCGGGTTATTTAGAGTAAGTGATTTATCATAAAATGTAGGAAGTTTTGCATTGCTAATATGGGCAATATGTAACATTTCTCCATTACCAACAAGCAATTTCTCTTTACCTTCATATTTCATCAAGGTATTCAGGTTACCTTTGTCTATAGTCACATGATTACTAGCCTCAGAGTCAACGAACCAGGCTGGATCCTCAAAAACTTCAGGCAATGCTACATAGGCCGATGGTGATGTACTGAAGTTTTGTTGTCCAGTGTTGACTGGTTTGCTTCCCATATACCGTTCATCGAATCTGTTGTAGCAGTAGCTTGCAGAGTGGTTGCTTAATCCACATATCTGACATGGCCCTCTAGTTTCATTCTGCCTGCCAAAGGTAGATCTTCCTCTTCCTCTTATTCTTCCTCTATGGTTGGGTAATCTTCCACTGCCACCTCCTCTAACACCTCTACTGAAACCAGAACTAGATCGATGTGCTAGCTGAACACTTGACTGGTTAACATTGAGTGAGGTGAAGCTGTTTCTAACTTGATTTAAATGCTCAAGTCGACTTTCAAAGGTCATGAGTACTGAAGATAACTCATGCCATGAGGTTGTTTCCCTGCTGCTTATCTGAACGACTATGGGAGTATACTCCTCATCAAGTCCTGATAAAACTTGTGTGATTAGATCACTTAGATCAATGAATTTACCAGCAATTTCCAGGTTGTCTGCCAGCTGTTTGATGGTGGTTAAGTATTGATCCATAGTCAGAGTTCCTTTCCTGGTTCTTTGACGTTCACCAATAAGGAACATAACCCTTGATCTATTCAATATACCAAAACTCTCTTCAACAGCCATCCAAAGCTTACTTGAACTCGTACAACCCATGACTTTCATAGCTATTCTTGGAGTCATAGATGAATAGAGCCACCCCATAAGGAGTTGTTCAGCTAAGATCCACTTCTGAAACTCTGGATTCAGAGTCATATCTACTGCTTCACCTTGGCCAGCAATAGTTTGTGTTGCAAGGAACTCTGGTGGACATTCTCTTGTTCCTAACAGGTATCCTTCTAGATTATGCCCTTTGATTATGGGCATAATCATGTTCTTTCAAAGGAGAAAGTTGTTTCTATCCAACTTCACCGAAGGCGTTTGGGTGATATTCATTCCATAAGTTGAAATGTGGCCAGCAGTAGAGTGAATGGCTGAACCTGTATTGAACTCTGATGGATTCGACTGGTTGCCTGAGCCGGTGTTAGCCATTTATTGGCTCTGATACCAAGAAAGATAATTGAAGATGTTGAAGCTTAATTTCTTACTTAATCAATTGACGGAAACACCAGAATATATACACATATAGGAAGCATCTAGAATGAAGAAAATAACAACCTAACAATACTACTAGCTGGCTAACAGCATAAGATTCTATTTCCTAAATTTCTGGAGCTGCAATGTGCCAATGTCTGCTGCCAAGGAACCGTAGGCAATGTTAGTTATTCATTTTAACTCACCAATCTGCATTTTGAATTATTTAAAGGGTTTTGGTTCTACATTTGGTTAACACTTTGGTGTCCTATGCAACATATTGTTACCACCAGTATGTAAATTTCTGGTCATGATAGGGATACATTCAACTATGTCGACTAAAATTTTAAAATATTAAAGAGGAGACAGATTTTTCCATTTAGCTTCTGTTTCAAAGCCCACCCCCTTGTAACAGATGCACAAATTTTCGTAAAAGGGTGGTGGCAAGACTTGAACCCAAATCTTTGTTTGCACTAAAACGAGAACTACCTCATTTAAAGGCTTATCGCTTAATGATTGGATATATTATTCACTAAAAGTTAGTCTTCAGCGGTATATAACATACTTTCGACTGTACAACTGGAACAGGGTCTGTTGATACTCACACTTCAAGCTCAGATTCCTTCACTGAAACCTCCAGTCTGCACATCAGTTAACAGAAACATTACATGTGAAGAAGTTGATGGAGGAAGATCAGTGATGTTATTTGCAGGCCTCTATTTGGTAGCACTAGGTGTTGGAGGAATAAAAGGTTCGCTTCCTCCGCATGGAGCCGAGCAATTTGATGAGCATACCCCACCTGGAA